AAAGAAATTCGGACCTTGATATCTTAACGAAAGCTGACACTAAATGTAGGATGTAAAAGTATTTGGAAAGATTCTAGTTTGATAGCTTTATGACTGTCAAGATTTTTAGATAACATACGGTAGATCTATGTCGGAAATTGTGTTACAACTTTGAGCCTTTGAGATTGACTCTTGCAACATGGCCTTAATGGAGTAGACTGGACCGGTTCTTCCTTTATCCTGTACTCAGAAGATAATCTTGTGAACTTTGTTGTGGAGAACCGTTTACACACGCGATTTTTTTCTTTTGATTGGACGTGAACGATTGAATGAGTTATGAATGTTCAGATGAGGGTTTATATATCCAGAACATTCATAACTCATCTACTCATTCAAATCCATCAGAAGAAAATCGCACTAGAATTAGAAATCGCAGGAAAAATTGCAAGTATAAACCGGTCTTTATATCACTGCATAAATTCTATTTATCACTGCACAAATGGTTATGGCGTTTCCATCAATAAAATTCTAGAAATCAATGGAAGAATATGTTTTATGAAGGTAGATCCCAGTCGCGACTGCCATTAAATTCCATTTGGTGTGAAATCTCAGGACTTATTAGCCAGTTACTGTGTCTGTTTTTACCCGACTGGAGAACTCTCCCCAGATTATACATACATGGCTCAGTGATTGCCCAGCAACAGTTGCGAAAAATGCAACTATAGGTCTTCTGGCAGGAATTGAACCTGCGGCCCTGCGATTCCCGTGCAGCGCTCTAACCAACTGAGCTACAGAAGACAGTTGCCGAGCTCTAACCACACGTTCATGTATAAATACCAGGGAATCGAACCTGCACAAACCCTCAACCTTTGGCGACATTACCACCAACGCAAACTTAAAGCAAGAAATTGGTAGCCATTTCAATAGATATAATAAATTATGGTGTCGGTATTTTTATTGGGGAGAAGCGAAAAATAAATACAAACTATAAAAATTGTTTGGTTAAATCTCTGCGTAACACGTTTTAGTACTTTAGAAATTCAATAAATCGACCGAATCTTGCGAAGGAAGATCCCAGATTCCGGCGCGTTTCAATTCAATATGGAGACCAACGTGAAATCTCAGGATTTAGTCCGCTTTGAGTGGCAAGTAATTACTGTGTGTGTTTTACCACTGGAGCACTATTTTTTAGTTACATATAGCTCAGTGGTTAGCCAAAAGAAAACGTATGGTCGCACTGTAAACGTATGTAATATTATTATAAATAATGAATATTTATGAGCGCAATGGTAAAAATATTTTCATTCGGTGAAAGATGGGATTTTCCATTCCATGAGGCCACAGCTGACTATTAATTAAATTATTGCACGGCTGAGTGTGCGATAAAATGACCAGAATTTAATGAGATGTTATACGATATATGATATTATACTAGAAACTTTAGACATGTTGTTCCAGATGCCTGTGGAGGGGGTTAATATACTAATGCACTTTTTTTTAAGGCTAAAATTAAATAGTGATGGCTCACAGTAGACTAAGTGATCCCGATTATAGAAACTGGGTTACTGTTGGTCGAGCAATCCAGATTACCCGGAACGGCTTAGAAACCATAATTCAAAATTCTGCTGACAAGTACCACACATCACTGCTTGCAACTTTGTCAAATAATGTACCTGCATGGAAATCTCACTTGGAGAATGCCCACCGATCACGTGATAAAAGAAAAATATACTGGAGCAACAGTGACAACACTCAGTGGTTGACCGTTGGTGCCTCATGGGAGATTGCTAAGATTTTTATGGCTCCCTTGGGACCGAGAAAGCTTGATGTAGCCAACGCCAAAACTACTGATATATCAGGACTGTTGAATGTATTAGAATGGTCTCCGAGAGGGACAAATGGTATGTTCAACACAGGTGTCGATGTTTCGAAAATAGCAGGTGCAAGAAGTGCTAGGAACCTTTGGGCGCATGCATCGTTGCTACATGTAAGTAATACAGACAAAGTCGACGCGTTTGCATCTTTAACCTCGCTTCTTCAAGACCCAGAACTGAACGGTGACAAAGATGTCCAAGACGCCATAAACAAGCTTAGTATTTTACTCAATACTGGTCTAGCGGTTATCGAAGAGAAAGAATTGGAATTATTCGTTCAGTTACAACGTCAACTTGGTCAAGATATAGTCAGTTTGGGAAGTGATATGAGCTGTTGGAAAGATGAAGTCGGAGCGAACTTGGAGTGGATTAAAGATCAGATGAAAGGTTTGGATGAATTTGTAAAGAAAAACGAGCTGAAAGTTGTCGAGAAAAGAATCAATCACTTGTCCAAGTGCCAAGATTCTACCAACAGCCGACTGAAAAAGCTAGAAAAGGGTATAACAGAGTCACAGCAATTATCTTGTGATGTGAAGCAGGAGCTAAAGTTCAACCCAGTCTCTGATCGGATGAAGGAAGAATTTGTTGGTCGTGAATGGTTGTTCCGTGACATTGAAAACTGGTTAGAAAAAGACCTGAATCCTGGGGAGTCTCGTGCCTTCTTTATCTGGGGTGGTGCTGGAACAGGCAAAAGCTCGTTCGCCCAAGAGTTTGTCCATCGGCATGAGGAAGAGAAATTGGCTGGATACCATTATTGTCAAAAAGATAATCCTCGCACCTGCGATTTGGAATCGTTAGTCTATAGTCTCAGCAGTATGCTCTCGAAAAGTCTTCCCGAATATGCTGCCTTGGTTGAGAAACTACAGACTGATCAATTTCGAGATAATCCTAACGCACTGTTCGATTTGTTAATTACTACACCATTGCAGCAATTGAAAGAAAATACCAAACATTTTCTTGTCATTGATGGCTTGGATGAAGGAGGATCTATGATTGCTTCTTGCTTTGCCAGATTATCAAAAGACCTCCGTCCGTGGCTTCGTTTCATTTTGACCGCAAGACACAATGCTCCCGCTCTATCTGGGCTTTTCTTAGATTGCACCTCTGCTAAACTAGATCACTTAGGGAATAGTCTTGAGTCCCTGTCCAGCAAAGATATTCGTAAATTTGTCTCCATGAAGTACAGAAAACTTCAAACTGAATATAACTGTATTCCTTCTTTCTTTGCTAATGACGAGCAGGTAGGCAAAGAGAAAATAGCTCAGGCTAGTCAGAATTGCTTCCTTTATGCTAAACTAGTGATGGAACACATCTTTGATGGCCATAATGAAATTGGTTTGCCTACCTCGTTATCTGAGATTTACTGCTTGGACTTCAGGCGTCACTTTCCAGATATAGAATTCTTTGAGAAAAAAGTTGCACCAGTGCTTCAGATTGTGCTTGCGATTCAATCTGCTAAGGCTTTCATAGATAAAGAGATACCTATAATAGGTATGTTTAATTTAGGACCTTCCCATCTTGATATTTTTTTTAGGGAAGATCAGCCGGTTTATGAGGCTTATGTGGAGAGCGATGAAAGTGTTACAGGGGTTGTGAAGTGTGGTTTGCTGTCTGAAATTAAGATGCGTGACCTCAATAAAGTCCTCAAACTTCTATCAGGCTACTTAGTAAAGGATGATTCTGGTAAATATTATTTCAGCCATAGTTCTGTAAGAGATTGGTTGCAAAATGAAGAGTCAGATTTCTTTTGCGATGTACTCAACGGGCACTCTATTATGGCAAACTATAACTTGAAAACTCTTAAAGTTAAGTATCCTTCACCTGAGAATTTTGGTGAAGATTTATGTTTTCGTCCGAAACATTCATATCCTATTGCTGTTTTAGACCTCAAATTCTTTTCTTTGCGTTATCTCTTTCATTCCAGTGAGAGCGGGAGTTCAAGCGTGAATGTTCTAATATCTGAATTAGGTATTAAAGCAATCGACCTTCTTCATGCCGCATTTCACCATAATGTTGACGGTTTCTATACATCCATTTGTTCCGAGTATATGGCATTGAAAGTTCTCGATGAAACAAATGTCTTGAATGAAATGACCACAAAGGAAAAAGCTGAACATCTTGACCTGGCTATGAATTCGCTGTCTGCAAGGATCATCGGGAAGTTCCTTGATGGCGCATACTGGATTTTTAGTCATAATGTCATTGTTTCCTTGATCTTTAGTATCACCACACAACAGCTCGTCCCGAAAGAATCACTGCCCCAGTTATTCTTTTCGTCTTTCATCCATGGTTACGATGAGATATTTGAACTTTGTGTAAACAAAGGAGTGACGGCAGATGTATGTGTTCCACAATTCTTTGAGAACACCAAGGGCTTTGACTCGTCCATCTGCTGGAACGAAGATGTCCAAGAGTATTTTAAAAAGCTGAAGTCAGGGGAAAAGAATGTTATCAATTTGGAGTCCCTTAAAGAGAAGCCATTTGATCCAAAAGAAGCCAGAGTGTCGGAATTTACATTGGAGATCATTCAAAAACCTCTTTCAGGTATTGATTATAAATACTCTTGTAAATCTGTAGGTGTGAAAAAATTATGGTGACAAAATTATTCTTTGATGTCAAGTTGAGTATGCATATTCTTAAAAATGGCTTTGGAAATAACGGAGTTTGTGATATATGAAACCATAGACAATCCAGAAGACATGACATGACGATTTGTCATCATATTCTAGCTTGCGTTTCCAGTCCCTGTCTTCTGGATTGTCTATGATGAAATCAATACACCTCGTTGTATATGCTGTACTCGTGACCAAAAAAGTTGCTTAGAAACGAGTTTTGTTGCCTATCTTTGGGCACTACTTCAAAATTACATCAATCTATAAACTGATTCTTATATGCCTGGTACGCAGTGGCGTAACGGAGGAAGAGGGGGCCCTTAGGCATATTCTGTGTGGGGGGCCCTGTTGTCATTGTTTGACTGAGATATTATATTTATATTGAATATTTATAGAATGTTCTGGAAAATTCCGTGTCTATAACAATGACAATAACAATCTCCAACACATGGAACAACTTTTATGAATAACATTTGTTTATTTGTGGTGTTACTCTGAGTGTGTATCCACACCGGGCGAGCTTGAAAAATATGCCCGGCCACGGTCATGGCATTCGAACCTACGACCTTTGGAATACTAGTCCAATGCTCTTCCAACTGAGCTACGCGGTCAGGACGGTTCGAGTAAGTGATATATATAATATTCACCTGAGTACACTACACCAACACAGAAAAATTCGTATTACTAGAATACATTGGTATCGAAGGAACTAGATTCTGTTCCGAAATATCACTTACTCGAACCGTCCTGACCGCGTAGCTCAGTTGGAAGAGCATTAGGCTAGTATTCCAAAGGTCGTAGGTTCGAATCCCACCGTGGCCGGGCATATTTTTCAAGCTCGCCCGGTGTCGATATACACTCAGAGTAACACCACAATTAACATTTGTTTAATTTGAGATGGCATAAAAAAATCAGCTACCGTCGTCGATGGAGGCTTTACTGATGTAGCACTATTAATTTCGCATTTTCCCATTGATTCTTCACCTGCATTTTTTACGTTTTCCAATTCTCTGGGCTATAGACTGTGGCTGATGGGGGCCCCTAACTGTTGGGGGCCCTTAGTTTTGAACTAACCCTAACCAATGAGCGCTACGCCACTGCTGGTACGAATTCACTCGAAGAAATCTGCAGCTTCTATATATCTTCTAAATTTTTCTATGCACTTTTTTAGATCTGGGGATCAGTTGCGAAGGTCATAGGTCCTGTAGCTGCGATTCCGGTGTAGTGCTCTAACCAACTGAGTTACAAAGACCAGTTGCTAAGCATTATTAACCAGCATTAACTTCTACCCAACATTACTCAACTTGATATGATTGCATAGAATACTAATTAGGATGGACAATTATATAATCATTCTAATTGGATGAACAATTATATAAAAAATATAGTAATGAAGATGAGTTTTATCAGATATAAAGTCACTCCACGTGACATATTATGGCTGACATGATTGGCCACAAGGTTTATGAATTATCAATGAGTATTTTATATATATATATATATATATATATATATATATATATATATATATATATATATATATATATATATGTAATACTTTAGTAATATATAGCATTTAGTTTAGTATATTTATATTATAGCCCATTCATTGTAAAAATTTAAATGCATCGCCAACATTAGTATTAATTTATATAATACGTAATAATATATATATATATATATTTAAATCAAATTATCAAATATTAATATATATATATATATATATATATATATATATATATATATATATATATATATATATATATATATATATATATATATATATATATATTTAAATCAAATTCACACCTAAATTTCAAAATTTTTGCTCAGAAATATAGACTTATCCTTCTATTTTCGCGGGTGATATGACTTAGATCATTATTCTTTGGTATAAAATAGAAAACAGCGCAGTTATTGACCCTCCTGAACGGATAAAGGATATCGTCTCAAAATATATCAACTTCGAAAGCTTATTTCAAAATCGTGGCACCTGATTGGCACATGACTTTACCTTTTCTATAAACTACTGACATTAGTCAACACAAATCGTCAATAATATCTTTCTGATCTACCATTAGACAAAAATGATAAGCGCGCAAACTTTGTAAAATTTGAAAATGTGTCGAAATCGAGCATACTTTATCGGTAAACATAATTCTTGATATTAACAAATAAAACCACCTTACACTACACTGAATGAAGCTTGATTATGTAAATATATGTCTTTCATCATTATTCTTTGGTTTTGCACTCGAATGAAATTGTTTGACTGTACAGTTTGGCTTCAAGGATAGTCATTCAATGCCAGTGTGTTCGAATTCTGCGCGCCTCAATGCCATGAGTCCTGATTGTGACATACGAACTTCGCTCTGTTCGCTTTGTTTACCTCCTGTAAATAAAATGTCTCAAATTAAAAAATTCAGAATTAGTCATACTACAGGCATAATTTTCATTAGTTTGTTTACCTTAAACTGTTATATTAAGTTTCGTTTTATAGAATGTACGAATTAATCTCGGGGAAAACTCGTAACCGAAAGAAATGTACTCGCTGAGCGTAAACATGTCAATCAAATGACGATGAAATGTTTCGTTGCTCTCTGGTTTCCCTTTCTTTGTATTGAATTAAATAGTAGTCTTAGACAGTATTGCACGAGGTTTTTGTGTTTACAATAATGGTGTTCTACTTCTACTACAGCCGCAATTTGTGATCACGCTACGTTAGGTAAATCTAAACGATTTCGACAGACAGTAGATTTTATGTTGACAGATGAGAATGATGGTAAGCAATAATGTAGAAATGTTCCTTTTCTACTTCTGAGTGTGGAAAATTCTGAGACACAGTAGACTGTTCTTCGAAGTTGCTGGCGTGTAAGAATGACATTAGTTATCACTTGCAAATGTGTCACCCTTTAAAGCTTGTCGGAAAGAAGAATATAAATTAATTCTAATTTTCAGAACCTTTCTAATTGTTACTGAAAAAAGGAATAACATTGATTAAATAACTGAGACGTTCAAATGGGTTACAGCTGTTTGCGCTGAATTGTTTTGTATTATATCAAAATATTCGCATATTTTTATACAATAAGAAATATATATATATATATATATATATATATATATATATATATATGTAATACTTTAGTAATATATAGCATTTAGTTTAGTATATTTATATTATAGCCCATTCATTGTAAAAATTTAAATGCATCGCCAACATTAGTATTAATTTATATAATACGAACATTGCCCTTCTTTTTTTCTCTTGTAAATATAGTAAATATTCTTCAAAATTTCTCATTTTACATATTGTATTGTCTGACTGACTGTAAATAATTGACTATGTGATTTAATTATCACAAGTGAACAGTAATTATAGAGGCCTAAATAAAAGTCTACGAAGATTTCTAGTAGGTATCTAGCCCAAAATCTTTTAAAGATGTATTTTAAGTAGCATTTTTATACATGGTATAATGGGGAAAATTAAATAAAAATATAAATTTATAAACAATAACTATTTTTCAATCGACAAGTTGTCAATTTTAAATTACTGCATTCAAATTAACTGAACACGAATTCAAAAATATTTATACGTTTGCTAATTGAAACTAGCAACGTTAATTTGACGTGAATTTTTAAAAGCAATGACCAGTGTAATTCATAAAAAGGTCTTGAACGCATAAAACTCGAGCACTTTTGAGATAGAAGTCTGAGAACTCGTAAAACCCGCGAGCACTTTTGCTTCACAGCATATTTTTTGTACAAGCCTAAATGAAAATTAAAACTATATATATCAGTAATATTTAAGTGTATTATTAAGTACATTATAACCTCAGTCAAGCGAGATTATTTGAGAAGGATACACAATACATAGGCGGTCGCCGGTCGCGCTCATTTCACCATTTCTTTGCTTGAGCAGCACAGAGCCACATTGCTGCTCCAGACTGAATTTCATTAGATCCTTTTTCCCAGTTTTTCTTAACACAGTTGAGAGTTTCTTTCTAAGACACAAATCGCTAACTTCTCTGGAAACGATGTGAAGCACTTTCTGTGTAACCACTTTGAGGACGGGTTGCATTTCATAACTGCCGTACAGTGTCTCTCGATAGAGGTCCATACAGTAACGCTTTCGAAACCTAATATATTGTAAGTATCATCT